TGCAACAATTTGGACGTTACTATGCAATACAAATAGCGTAAAGACGCATGTACCTATATTTGCACAATAAACTCTGTTTGCACTTATCCGCCCTAATTATATGTTTTCTATAAATATTAAGCAATTGAAACAGATGTAAAAATTTGGAAAACTAATAATCACATTCTATTTCCTTGTGCATTTTCTAATGTAATTCCAAACAAAAAGAAAATGACTTCTCTCGGCATTTTCTCTCTTTCCATTAGTACTTTTTGGGATCGAAATAGTGCCTGATGAAGGTTTGACAAAATACCTTGATAAGGGTCCTCCAGTGCCAACCTAATCCCACATTAAAAACTTGTGTGTGACAACTGACAAATCTAGCATATGAATTGAGTTTGGGAGTTTTAGTCCGTTGATGGGTGGAGTCATGGATTCTTCTTTCAAAGATACTCCGTAGTATAAAGATGAAAATGTGAAATTATTACAAATAAACTTTAGTGCAAATTTACATAACACATACATTAATTTGATTGGCATTAATTCATATTTGAATGAATGAATGAATTTGGTGGTGAGTTTGGGCGTTGGAAATTAATCATTTTGAGTATGGACAAAATTGAATCGTGAGAAATGGATGATGATGATCGATGAAGAACATATCATCCAAAAATAGACCCAAAAATAGAGGAAGAGGAGGTTAAATGTAATAGTTTTTGTGAAATAGTACTTCGTGATTCGTCGAGGATAAGTAATCCAAAAATCAATTAAAAAATGGGTCTTTCTATGGTACCTCTCTTATTTAGAAGTGTACCGTACATTTGGTTTGATGGCCCATTAACAACACTACACGTGTAAACTAATAAAATACTATATTATTAAAGTACTCCGTAATCAAGTTAAATAATTCGAGGTATTTCCTTTTGATTCCTTGGCAAAAGCTGTGAGTTCTTACGGTGCATTGGCGTCCTTTCTCAGTGATCAAAGCAAAGCATTTTCTAATCCCCATCTAAAACTCCCTTCTCCAGCCATCAACGATTCAACGATGGCCTGCAAATGATGACTTTTCTCTTGAAGCGCACAGGCGGTTCTCTAGGCTCCGGCAACGGTTTTCGGCAAACACCAGCAGGTCCACGCCGGCAAAAATCATCCGAATGATTGTTTCTCTCTCACTAACCCCATCTCTCGGCGGCAACGGTGCTTCAACGCCCTCTGCACCCTTCTTGGGTTTGCCGCCTTGCCGGCCTCCCGTAATAGAGAATTAATCCATACAAATTACTACGGAGTATATTAATATAGGGGGTGACGTGGCACCATAATCTATTTTGATTAGCTTTCAAAATATGTGTACCGGTACCTTGAAAATTAATATAGTTACCGTAGAATTTTCCTTAAAAAATAGTCTTTGTAAGGTATGGATTCCGTCTCCGGCTCAGGTCTATTCAACACACTACTCACATACACCACACTAGGAGGAAGCTACAACACAACTCTATTTTTAACTCTCCACTTAGGACCTCTCTCAGCTCTCACACAAAGGAAAGAAGAAGAAGGGAGCACTGCTCTCAATAGAAGTGTTTCTCGCAGGCTGAGTCTCACAAGGAAGAAGTAAAGACCATTAATAGGCTGCCAAGGAAGTCACGGGTGAGGTCAATACAAAAGACACTCACATGCATCTTAGACAAAGGAAAGTCACAAGCATAGGCCAAGACAAGTGAAGTATGCAGCGGACAGAACACAGAGGGGCCAGCCAAGTGGGTAAGTCAACCCTCAAATAGGTATGTTATTGATCAGATAAAATACCAAGGTAAAGGTACCAAAGTGGGAGTAAAACAATAGGGTGCAAGCCTCAACAAATAAAGTGGAAGGGAGGCCTTGGTAGGACCAATACCTCCAACATTCTCCACCTTATTGGTCCTAGGTGGTGTAGAGTATCAATACAAGGTTGTGACAAGACTCATCATCGCCGGGTCACCCGGAATATCAACAGACACAACGGGCAAACACTTTATTAGGCAACCCACAGTTATCCACAATCAAAGTTTAACACGCGTTTACAGGACAAGTGCTTCTCAGCAGAAAGACACTTGGTACCCATATCCGCGGGGTTAAACTCCGACGGGATCTTGCACAGCTTGACTCCACCTGCATCAACAATATCACGTATGAAATGGAACCTAACATCAATATGCTTAGTTCTATCATGAAATACAGGATTTTTGCAAAGTTGGATAGCCGATTGGCTATCCGAGAAAATGGTAACTCCCTTTTTGAGAAACCCAATTTCGGAGACAAGGCGTTTGAGCCAGATGGCTTCCTTAAACGCTTCTGTGGCTGCAACATACTCAGACTCAGTGGTAGAAAGGGCCACAATAGGCTGTAGTTGAGACTTCCAACTAATGCAAGAGCCACACAAAGTAAAAACATAAGAAGTGGTCGACTTCCTGTTATCTCTATCATTTGCATAGTTAGAATCAACATAACCAATCAATTCAATACCACTAGCACATTTAGAGAAAATTAATCCATGCTTCACAGTAGAAATCAGATATCTAAGCAACCACTTAAGAGCATTCCAATGGGGCAAACCAGGGTTGGACATATATCTACTCAAGCAACTAACCGCATATGCAATATCAGGTCTAGTGCTAACCATAAGATACATCACCGACCCTATTGCGCTGGAATAAGGCACAGATTTCATTTTCTCAATTTCAGGAGCAGTCTTGGGAGACTGGTCCTTACTTAACACAAAGTGAGATGCCATAGGGACATTAACAGGAGAAGCAGATAACATATTAAATTTACTCAAAACTTTTTCTATGTAAGAAATCTGATTCAAAGTAAGAGTACGCTTACTCCTATCCCTAACAATGTTTATGCCTAGGATCCTCTTGGCATCACCTAGGTCTTTCATGGCAAAATTCGCACAAAGACATTTCTGCACATCTTTAATAGCATTCAGAGAAGGACTAATTATCAGCATGTCATCCACATAGAGTAACAAAAATACAGGCACAGAAGAAGTATTTTTGAAATACAGGCAATGATCACAAACAGATTTCTGGAACTTCAAAGATATCATGCATTTATCAAATTTGATGTTCCACTGCCTAGGGGATTGCTTCAGGCCATACAAAGCCTTCCTAAGCAAACAGACATGCTCACTTCTCTTGGGATCCACAAAGCCCTCAGGCTGGGTCATATAAATTGTTTTATCCAATTCACCATGCAAAAAAGCAGTAGTTACATCCATCTGTTTCATTTCCCAGTCATGGTGAGCAACTAAAGCAAGCATCATACGAATAGTGGTGAATTTAACAGCAGGAGCAAAGATTTCTGCATAATCTACCCCCTCTTTTTGAGTAAACCCCTTCGCAACCAACCTAGCCTTAAACCTAACATCACTAGGTTCTTCCTTAACCTTAAACAACCACTTACACTCAACTACCGAACAGTTGGGGGGTCTAGGTACAAGGGTCCAAGTCTGGTTCACTCTCAAAGAGTCCATCTCACTTTTCATGGCACTAATCCATTTCTGAGACTCTTTGGAACCTAAGGCTTCACGGTAGGTCTTGGGTTCATTCAGCTCTAGGGATTCAAACACAGAAAATGCAAACATAGAAGTATCATGCACAATGAAAGCATAATCAGGCATACTATCAGCAGTTCTCCTGATAGCCCTTCTACTCCTATCTCTAGCAAGTTGATAATCATGCAAATTATCACTACTAGGCTCCACATGCAACTCATGCAAATTATTGTTATCATGAAAATCAGATTCAGCACCCATATCATGCAAATCATGCTCAGTATCATGCAACTGCTCCACCTCACTCGAGGTGGTGGGACTATCATGCTCAGAGGAATCATAATCATGCATAACAATATCATCAGAGATAACAGGATCAACAGATAAAGGACTAGCAGCAACAGGGACAGACTCCACCTCACTAGGAGTACTATCAGACCTAGACTCAGGATTAGAAGCAGACTCGGTCAAGCAAGGAAAATCAGTTTCATTAAACACCACATTTCTGCTAAGGACCACTTTAAAGCCTACCTGGTTCCTATCCCATAACCTGTAACCCTTTACCCCCTCTGGATAACCTAGGAAGACACACTTCTTAGACCTAGGATCCAACTTGTCACCCTGTTGATGTGCATACGCTGCACAACCAAACACCCGAAGGTTAGACAGATCAAGAGGCTTACCGGTAAAGACGGTTTCAGGACACTTACCACCAAGAGGGACAGACGGGGACCTATTAACCAAATAGGCAGCAGTAGTGACTGCTTCACCCCAGAATTTCTTAGACAAACCAGAGGTAGCTAACATGCTTCTAACCTTATCCAACAGAGACCTATTCATTCTCTCTGCTATCCCATTCTGTTGGGGAGTATAAGGCACAGTTTTGTGCCTTTTTATCCCACAATCCACACACAGCTTATCCATCTCCTTATTACAGAACTCTAACCCGTTATCAGTCCTAAGGGTTTTAACCTTCCTGCCAGTTTGGTTTTCAACTAGGGTTTTCCACTCCCTAAACCTTACAAACACATCAGACTTGTGTTCTAAAAGGCAAACCCACACCTTCCTAGAGAAATCATCAATAATAGAAAGGAAATATTTCCTACCCCCGTGGGTAGGAACACTGGCAGGACCCCAAACATCGGCATGAACATATTCAAGCACAGACGAACACTTAGACAGATTAGGGTAAGAGGAAGGAGGGAAGCTGACTCTATGCTGCTTGCCTAGCACACATGATTCACAGAAAGGCACAGAAGTCACAGAGTCCTTACCAAAATAACCAGCCCTACGCATGACATCTAAACCCTTATTGCTCATATGTCCTAGCCTATTATGCCACAAAGAGGTCTTATCAGAACATACAACATTCACAGACTCGGCAAAAGGCTTAGCATGACACACATAAAGGTTATTCACCTTCTCAGCTTTAAACAAAACAAGCGAGTTTTTCAGGATTTTCATACAACCATTCCCCCACTTTCCCTGTAACCCACTACTCTCCAAAGCAGCAACAGATAACAAGTTATGACACAAATCAGGGACATGCCTTACATTCTTAATGGTAAACACAGAGCCACAAGAAAATTTCAGACATATATCACCAACACCAAGCACATTGCATCTCTTATTATCAGCTAAGGAAACGTAGCCACTATCACATAATTCATAAGTAGAAAACAAATCTCTAAAGGGGGACATGTGATAGGTACAACCAGAGTCAATCAACCATTCATGCTCAGACAGGGAATTTCTCACAGAATTAACATGGTCACAAACCATCAAAATATCACCAAGGTCACATTTATCAACATCTACACTAGCATGCTCGGTCTTCTTAGGGTGGGGGCAATCTTTAATGAAATGGCCAGTGTTACCACAATTGTAACACACTCTCTTCCTAGATTTACTCCTCTTCCTCCCAGGCTGACTAGTGTTCTTACCCTGACTATTTTGCTTAGAGTTCTTAGACCTACCCTTAGATCTACCCCTAACAAACATAGCCCCACCGGAGTCCCTGGACTGACTAGCACTACCCCTAGCATGCTTCAGGTCTAATTCCTTACTCCTTAACCCATTCACCACAATGTCTAAAGAAATCTCATCCCTACCGTACTTAATAGCGGACTTAACATCATTATAAGAGTCGGGAATGGCATTAAGTAATACTATGGGAGTGTAATCATCTATGTGTTTATCACCTGCCTGTTTGATATTCTGTATCAGTTTATTAAACACATCCAGGTTCTCATCTATATCCTTAGTCAGGTCAAGCCTAAACCTAAAGAATTTCTCTAGTAAGAACCACTTCCCTGGTAAAGAGGTATCAGTATAGAGACTATCCAATTTCTCCCACAACTCCTTAGCGGACTCAAGAATACCCACTTTCCTAAGCACAGAATCAGACAGATTCAAGTAAATAGTAGAACAAGCAGTTTCGTTCATTTCAATTTGCTTAGCCTTATCTTCTGATTCAAGGAAAATACAAGTGACAGCTCTGAAAACTTTTTGCTGTATTAAAACACACTTTATTTTCTGTTTCCAAATATCAAAATCTGTTTTTCCATTAAATGGAAGCATACCATACTGATTCGCAGCCATGGTATCAACCACAAAGGAACACAAAGCTAAACAGACTGAATTGACAGAAAACAATCCAACCCGGGCTATAAAGTAATCACTTTAATAACCCCGGGCAGCATGCAACACATAGCAAATATTGGACATTTTGGCAATTTAAACAATTCCAGGTAGAAAATTAAAATTAATTAATTCTACCCCTACCACCCAATAAACCACCCCTACGCATAACAATTAATTTAAATAACACAAAGCAATTTAATTAATTAACTAAAACAGTCTACCACAAAGGAGAAAGTTTAGTACGTACCTGGGGGGTTGGCGGCCGGGATTAAATCAACCGGCGGCCCGCGGGGAGGGGGAATAAATTAAATTAAAACCGGAATAAAATAAATAGGAAGTTTATCGAAAACTTACCTTCGCGAAACCCTAGGAGAGCGTTTCGACCTTACCTACCCAAATTAAAAAAAATTGGGATTTTTCTGGAGGGGTTGACTGCCGTTGACCGGCGTTGACCACCGTTGACCGGCGTTGACCGGTGGCGGTTGACTGGCGTCCAGCAACTCCAGCCCAGGTCAGCAGGTCCAGCCTGGTCCAAGCTCCAGTTCAGATGGCCCAGTCCAGTAGCTCCTTCAGCTCCAAAAGTAGCCAACCAGGCCAAAGTCACCCCAGCAGCTTTTAAATAAAGGCCCAATAGCCCAGAGCCTCAACACACTAACTCCAGCAATCGACGGGTCCAACGCGTATGAACAGTGTCAGTCTTCTTCGTCGCTTCGTCCTCTGCGAACAACGACTGCAGGTGATGGCTTCGACGGACAAGCGACGGTTCCAGCCACGAGAAAACCCGACGAACCAGCTCCAGGCAGACAATTTCCGACTAGCAACTTTCTGAGGCGGCGAGTGACGGCTGAGCTTCGGGCGATTTTAGTACCACCGCGGCGGACTCAATCTCCAGGCGGCAGTTCAACGACGTCTTTGGTCTCCAGAATCGATGCCGGGCAGTGAACCACGAAGAACCTCAGGCGAGCTTGATTTCAGTAACCAGCGTCGAACGAAGGCAGGGCCCAGAGTGTCGGCTGACCTTCGGCGAGCTCCAATCGACGGCGACGGCGGCGGACGGCGGCAGACGGCGGTTCCGGCTCTGATACCACTGTAAGGTATGGATTCCGTCTCCGGCTCAGGTCTATTCAACACACTACTCACATACACCACACTAGGAGGAAGCTACAACACAACTCTATTTTTAACTCTCCACTTAGGACCTCTCTCAGCTCTCACACAAAGGAAAGAAGAAGAAGGGAGCATTGCTCTCAATAGAAGTGTTTCTCGCAGGCTGAGTCTCACAAGGAAGAAGTAAAGACCATTAATAGGCTGCCAAGGAAGTCACGGGTGAGGTCAATACAAAAGACACTCACATGCATCTTAGACAAAGGAAAGTCACAAGCATAGGCCAAGACAAGTGAAGTATGCAGCGGACAGAACACAGAGGGGCCAGCCAAGTGGGTAAGTCAACCCTCAAATAGGTATGTTATTGATCAGATAAAATACCAAGGTAAAGGTACCAAAGTGGGAGTAAAACAATAGGGTGCAAGCCTCAACAAATAAAGTGGAAGGGAGGCCTTGGTAGGACCAATACCTCCAACAGTCTTCTTACTTTTTGAAGTGCAAAATTTGTAAAATCATCGCTACAATAATCAAAATCAGCTAACAATTTCTTCCGTCAATAAATAACACAATCAACCCAATTAGCTAGCCTATCTTTGGCCGACGTTACACTGATTGGAGCTTTGTTTTCTAACTTTTATGTGGAAGCATATTCTCGGTATATAATTTTTCACCCTGACCTCTATTTATGCCAAATTATACCGTATGACCGGCATACCATGCGCATGGTATGTCTGGTCATAATACGGCACCGTTTTATTAATTAAAAAGGGGACTGCTTGTTCCGTATAGTTCACCGGCGCCGCCGACTTTGTTATTACGCAGCGACGCAAGAAGCAAGACAAGCCGGCAAAAGGATTCAACTATTATTCCATTAATCCAGCGAACGAGAAAGCACCGGTGCTCCTTGTTGCAGATCGTTAACCAGCTGGTGCCCATGAGTAGCAACGATGCTCCTTGTTGCTGAACGTGAGAAGGAAGCAGATCGTTAACTAGCTAGTGCCCATGATAATCTTTAATTCTCCACCAATGGCTTGTCTTCTTTACTGGCAGAAGTGATCTTTGCTTTTATTTACCTTACATGAATGATCAGACAATTTATATGTATGTTTATATATGTGTCTGTTTAATAATTGAAGTTCCACCTTTTTATAAGCGAGTTACATCTTCTGAAGCGTGAGTTACATATTTTGAAGCGCGAGTTACATCTTCTGAAGAGTGAGTTACATGTGAATTTTCCTCTGCAAGTTACATCTTGTTTACACATGATTTACACTTTCCATAATGTGAGTTACACTACGATGAGTTACATTTGAATACACTGTATTTACATTTAACAATAGCGTGAGTTACATATCAAAACAAAGGATTTACATCACGAAAAAAATTGAGACAAATGCAAGGGTACTGTTCACGCGAATTTTATCCCTGGGAGTACGGTGCTCACCATGCACCGGTTGCACGGTATACGGACTGCTATTTATATATAAGAAAACGAATAGCTCATTAAATTATTACAATTTTGTCCTTCCTTAATCCTACGTGTCTATATACCCACGTTTTACTCCCTTAACATATTATTGCCACGTGGCTGCTTCTTTTATATATAAGGAGTAAATAAAATCGCAATGCAATGCAAAACAAACTCCCGACTCCTTCTCTATAACTGACTCTTGAAGTCCGTTTTTTCTTCATCTAATAATGATAATTATAATAATAATATCATAATTCTAATACTCCTTATCTAGCTAATAGAAAACCTACTGCGTATATATATCTATGAGCTTTTTTTCAAAATTAATACGGAGTACAGAAAATGGAATAAATTTTACTACGTATTATTTAGTTTGTTTACATCTGATCTATTTCCCAAACATGCGAATTTTATTATTATTATCTTAATTTGATTTGATGTCTAATTTGTTTAATTGTTTTCTTTTGAACTGTCTATAATTTAAAGTTTAATATGATCTCAGATGGAAAACAATTCATTTAAAAACTAATTTTTGGTCACTTGTGATATTCTTTTGTTGATTAGTATGTGATAAGATGTTACCAATTTTACTATTATTTTATTATGATGCGATCCCGTTTGTTTAATTTATTTATTTTTATTCGATTCTATTTAAGTTTGGTTTGGTATGATATTAAAAACATTTCAATTAATTTTTTTTAGTTTTTGGTCATTTATGATACTCTTTTGTTGATTAGTTTGCGATAAGAAGTTACCAATTTTACCACTCCGTATTATTTAATTCAACTCGGGTTTGTCTTATTTATTTTTTCTTTTATATTTAAGTCTGATTTGGCCTGAGATTAAAAACATATATTTAAAATAGCATTTTACCCTCTAAACTGACACATGGCCTCTCCCCAATTGTGAATTTTGATATGTGACTTAAAACTTTGTCAATATTTTTTGAAGTAAAAAATCCGTAGTTCATCCTATTTTGATCTCCTCTGCACAAACATCAATTACACATTTTACTCCCCTTTTCCCATCAAAACTCAATATTTTGAACGATCTTTTATATGACATTAATATCTCATATATATAATTGAAAACCAAATCTAAGATTTATTAAAAAACATTTCTATTTTCTAACCTCAACATGGCTCATTCCATAACAAAGAAAGAAATATTTTCTAATGTGTCAAATATTCTGCAGGCAATATAAGTCTTTCATACACATTTTTTTTTTATTTTTTGTTATCTAAAGAATATATTATGTAAATAATATGTTTTTTTATTATATAATTCTTTTAGATATAGGATAAGCCGAATAAAACTTGAGCGGAGAATTTTCTCTCTCATGCGTAATGATTTTAGATATAAGATAAGACGGCTAACAATTCATTGGGAGAATTGTTTCTTCATAGTTTCTTCATACGTAGTGCATTTATATCATGTATAGGATAATACGGCTAAACCAATTGAGCGGGAGAATTTTGTCTCCAATACGTAGTGATTTTAGCTATATAATAGGTCATATAAAGACGATTTTAACCTTAATGAATCCTATGTGTCAAGCTCTCCTCAATTCACTCATTTTCTCTAGCAACGCCACGTGTGTATTTTTGCTTCAATGTACGACTCTCCATGGAATGGGAAGGAGCAACCGTAG